ATAATAATAAAATTTTAGTAATATTAAAATATAAAATTTTATCATCTTTTTCAAAGAAAGATTGGATATTGACTAACATTAAATAGGTAAACAATATATAATAAAGTAAATATATTAAAATAGATTGAATAAATGATTAATTAATATATATATATAATTTCAGTCAATATCTTATGTCTGTTATTGATTTTATTTAAATAGTAATATATTTTCCAATAAAATCATATAGATGTTAGACTTGAGCTTCAACATCTATTACATCTTCTTAAATTTAAGTATCAATAGAATTGTTATTAAAATGTTATTTTTCAGCTTAAATTTGAATTTTCTGCTAATTTCCCAATTAATTACAAGATATTTAAGTAGAATAAATCAAGAATTAATCCATTCTTGTAGATAAAGAGGTTGTTTATAACATTTTGATAAATAAGTCCTTAATTTCAGAGTATTTTGGGATTTCATCATATTTAAGTTGATCTATGTATGACATAAATTTCAAAAATTCTAATGGAAATTTCTTGGATAATGTCATAGTGTTAAAGAGTGAAGTCTTAATTTCTCCAATTTATTGAATATCAAAATCTTGAGATTTCATGGAAGTTCTTTAAGACCATGGTAACTTTCCTAAGTTTATTTATCATAAATACCATTTCTCAAGTAGATTAATACATAAAATAAGCTTTCTAAATCATCTTTATAACTTAGCTATTCTCCTCTATGAGATGCTCTGCTTGCAAAATTTAAAGAACCAAAAAATACATTGGATAAACATTTTGAATTACCAATAAATTGAGATAGACCAAAATCAATAAGTTTGATGAACCCAGGACTTAATAATTCTTACTATGAATTCTTTACTATTGTTTCTTATATCATTATATTATCTGGCTTAATATCTAAATGTAAGATTTTTTTTCTATGTATTTATTCTAATGTTTTTATAATACTTAATCCGATAGCCAAAATACATGATAACGATAATTTTTAACATTTAACCAAATCTCTTAAGCTACAATTTAGTAATGGCATAATAAGAAATCCCCTAAATTTAATAAATTAATCATACTTATTGTCATCAGTTGTTCCATAGTCTATTAACTATGAGATTCCTTCTATTTTATTTAATTCTTTAAGTATTTTAATCTCACTTTCTATTTAACCTTACTTTGGGCATTTTTCAATTTTAAGTGCAAATTCTTTTTAAGTGATATTATGTTTAACTTTAAACACTTAATGTGAAGAACCTTATCCAATCATGCAAAGTATCTAATATGAAGAAGTTTGAAGATACATTCTTCGAACTATTTTTTATTATTGAATATATAAGAACAAAATTCTTATTAAAACTTAAAATGAAGGGGATTAAAGATATTTTTTAAATCTATAATTTTTTAACATCAACAACTATACTCATCAGGTATTATTAATTATTATGTTACTTAGTAATTATTGTAAGTTATTTATGAGTAATATCATTTTTAAACAACAAGCAGTTTAATCTTGTAATTACGAATATTTGTTAAATTCTTCTTTTTTTCTATTATTTACTTTTTGAACAATTATAATCTCCAATATTTTATAATAAGCAAAGAATTACAACCTACTAAAGAGATGAGAGCTTTAGATTTTAAAAACTAAATTGAAATACTCTTATTTATTTGATTAATTACAATTTTGAATTAGAAAACCTATGTATATTACTTTAGTTATAATATCACTAATATTAACATTATATTTAAAATTATATATTTTAATCAGCTAATTGGTTTCATTTAGTCACAACAGCACATTCTGACCACAAATTTAAATTTTATTCTTTGCTTTTTATTTATATATAAGTTTAAAAATCAAATAAAATTCTAATTGTTATAGTCTATTAGATTAAATACAATATGAATATCGAAAAAAGTTCAAGATAAAACAACGATAATATTTTACTTGAACTTAAATTATAAAATGATGATTATTGATTATGATTATATAAAATTAAAAGCACATATATAAATTTTTGTGAATCGATAAAAGAATAAAGATTTGAATAACTTTAAATTATATTTATATTCTAATGAATTTTGATTCAAAAATTATTTAGTAGCACCTAGCCATTGATTCTTAAAAAAAGAATAAGAATATTCATTAGAAATAAGTATTAGAATTTGAATGAATCTATAATTTTTGTTTAGATTATTCATAAAATTACCATTTATATAATTTAATCCAATAAAGTCATAAGAAATGAAGAATCCCTCTTTCAAATTTTTATACTTTTTATTCTAAAATTTCCATATTTTTTTTTGAGTCTCATCATAATTGTAATTTTTTATTTAAAAAAAGTATAATCTGTTTGATCTTTATTTCTTTTGTATAATAATTAATCATGAATTCAAAAACAAATCTATTAACTTCTCACCTATTGCATGAAATGATTTAAATAAAAATAGTGAATATTAAACAATTTAATTAGATATAAATTAAAAATTACAATATTATGGAATCATAATATTTATTTCAATTTTAACAAAAAATTAGAAGAAATTAAATAAACAAAAATTAATCCAATGGCATAGTGTATTTGAGTGAATTAAATAAGTATAAAAAATCTTTGAAATA